GGACAGGAGGGGGTCCGGGAGGGGACAGGGAGGGTGTCCGGGAGGGGACAGGGAGGGGGTCCCGAGGGGACAGGGAGGGGGTCCTCCAGAAAGCTCAGGGACAGGGAGGGGGTCCAGGAGCGGGTTTCCAGGGGTTTTTGTGAAGCTGCAGGCCCAGTTGGTTCTTGGATGTGGGACCCTCCTTCTCTGGGAACCACGTGTAGGTCTTGTGGAAGGGGAACCTGAATCTGAGGACTGCATCCCAGGTCAAGGAGGGCGAGTGAGGACCAGGAGGGCTGAGGGCATGGACTCCATGACCCGAGAGAGGAGGCAGCTTGGAGCCCAGACCCCTGGGACCCGGGGAAGGTGGGGCTTGCCTGAGCTCCTGCCTCTGAGGGAGGAGAGGCTGGGGGCTTGATCTCCCTAGAGTCCAGGAAAAAAGGTAATCTCTCCCTCTCCCCCCACTTTTTTAAAATTTCCCTTCTTGCCCAGGCCGGTTTGGCTCAGCAGATAGAGCATTGGCCTGCGGACTGGAGGGTCCCGGGTTCGATTCCAGCCAAGAGCACATGCCCGGGTAGCAGGCTCCATCCCCAGTGCAGGGTGTGCAGGAGGCAGCTGGTCAATGATTCTCTCTCTTCATTGATGTTTTTCTATCTCTCTCTCCCTCTCCCTTCTTCTCTGAAATAAAATTATATATAAAAATTTTTTCCTTCTTAATAATGTTCTTATCTGATTTTCTAGAGTTTAAATGTCTTATTTTGAGACCCCCTCCTGGGGGACGGAGGACCCAGAGCCACCACGCCCCCTCCTCTCTCAGAGATCCAATCCAAGAGCCTTTGAGCTTTTCCTCTCTCGGGCCCCAGTCTTTCTCTTCCCTTAGCTTCTGCCTTCAACATGAACCTGAATTCCCAGGACGCCTGCTCTTTCCCTCGGAGAGACCTTGCTGGCTGCTCTCTCCTGGTCCTCCCTTTCCCGAGGAGGTTGCCAGGAGGCCAAGCCTCTGGTCACTTACCGAGACCCAGCAGGGTGCCCAGCAGCGTGAAGGCCAGCAGGAAGGCGCTCGGTGTCACGGAAGGCCTCATGGTGTGTGACCCAGCAGCCCCAGGTTCCCAGTACTTATAGGAAGCCGAGGAGGGGCGGGTCTGGACCCACCTTCACCCCGGGGAGAGAAAGAGCTGAGGTAAGATCGCAGGGCAGGCCTCTGCGGCTCTGGGTTGGGGAGGTGCCACCAGAATCCAAAAGGAACATGGGCGTCTTGTGCCCAGCCCCCTCCTCCACAGGGACCCCAGGAGTCTGGGCTTCCAGCCCCTTCTATCAGGACGCAGAGGGGCACTTTCCTGTTTTCTCACACACCCCCCCCCCCTTCTTTTTCTGGCCTGAAGCCCAAGGTCAAAATTCAGGTCACTTGATTCCCTGTAGGTGTAGGGCAGCTACAAGGTCTGAGAACCCCTCTCTCTTCTCTCTCATCTCAAGGAGGCACCCTGCGTGGGTGGGGCCCTACCTGGGAGCGCCCAGCCTGTCCGGGCTCGTTCTGCGGGGGCCCAGGAGCCTTGTCTCCTTCCCTTCTGCATGGGCTTGGCTCATACTCCCTGTTCTTTGTTCGGGCTGTCTCCAGCTCCTACCCGCCTGGGGCTGTCTCTCTGGGTCTGGTGAGGACCCGAACAGAAGGGGTGCCTGTCAACGGGCAGGGATGGACGGGCGTGGCAGGAGACAGATGCCCACAGGTCACATTGGGAAACTGAGGCATGGGTGGAAGCACTCTAGGCTGGGTGTGTGTGTGTGTCTGGTTTGTGTTTTATTTAGGTTCTTGACGCACTCTCTCCTGGCCTCAGGCATAACTCTGAGAGCTGAGATTTTTCCCCCCCTGTGTGTGTGGTGGGAAGCTAGCGGGGGAAGAGTGCAGCTGCAGGACCGGTGGAGGATCCTGTTGCAGTACGCTCCAGTGATGGCGAACCTTTTGAGCTCCGCGTGTCAGCATTTTGAAAAACCCTAACTTAACTCTGGTGCCGTGTCACATGTAGAAATTTTTTGATATTTGCAACCATAGTAAAACAAAGATTTATATTTTTGATATTTATTTTATATATTTAAATGCCATTTAACAAAGAAAAATCAACCAAAAAAATGAGTTCGCGTGTCACCTCTGACACGCGTGTCATAGGTTCGCCATCACTGCTCCGGGCTCTCTGCAAAAATGCGCTCAGCTTTGCGGTCCTCTAGCTTTTTAGGCTTCAGTTTGGGCGGCGACTACGTTGTCCAATGAGAATGGGGAATCTCTTCTAGGGACCAATCCCGGAGGCCGCTCCTGTTGCTAGGCGCCCGGAAAAAACGGGATGTGACCATCACCGGGAGGAGGGGCTAAAGAGTAATAGGGCCAGAGGGAGGCGGGGCTAGAGGAGAAGCTCCTTGCTAGGGAACTCAGAGCCACTCTCCCGAGAGGCGGGACTGCGCTGGCGCCGGGTTGACGCGTGCGCCGGCGCGCCGCGGTTTGAAAGGCCCGAGCCTCGCGCGCGTGCGCACTTCAGCGCGCGCAGGGCGCACCCCCTCCTCGCCCCCCGAAACTCGGACCCTCCTGCGTCCTTCAGGTCCCGCGAAACCCACGACGCTGACATGCCGGAGATCCGCCTCCGCCATGTGGTGTCCTGCAGTAGCCAGGACTCGGTGAGGGACTAGGGTGAGGGAGTTGGGAGACGTGAAGGAATTCTGAGGGCGCTGGCTCCGTGAGAACGTCTGGAGTGTAGAAGGGACCTTCAGGGGAGTCTGAGGAGGGTCGGGGGGCATTTCCAGGAGGTTGGTTATCAGGGGGTTCTGAGAGGGATTTGGACTGAGGGAGCTTCCGGGCGTCCGTGGAAGTTCCGGAAGGAAGGAGGACTAGGAGAGCTCATGGGTGAACTTCCCGGGCGAAGTGTTGTTGGGGGCTCAAGGCAGAGCGCGGGGGGAATTAACGGGGACACTTAAATCTGGGGGATCGCAGAGGGCTTGGGAGGACTCGGAGGAGTAGTCTGGAAGTGGGGGACCCAGCTTTCATCTCGGTGCCCTCACATCCCCTTTCCCATTCTTATGTCCATGCCCAGACCCACTGTGCAGACAACCTCCTCAAGGCGGACACCTACCGGAAGTGGCGCGCAGCCAAGGCGGGCGAGAAGACCATCTCGGTGGTGCTCCAGGTGACCCTGCCCCCACCCCATCCCCTAGAGCAGTGGTTCTCAACCTTCTGGCCCTGTACATACAGTTCCTCATGTTGTGAGCCAACCATAAAATTATTTTCGTTGCTACTTCATCACTGTAATGTTGCTACTGTTATGAATCGTAATGTGAATATCTGATATGCAGGATGGTCTTAGGTGACCCCTGTGAAAGGGTCGTTCGACCGCCAAAGGGGTCGGGACCCACAGGCTGAGAACCGCTGTGGGACCTAACGGGAGCCTGGACCCGGGTCCAGACCCTGCTCCCAAGTCCACTGGCAGCAGGTTGAGAGTTTCCCCTGGGCCTCAGCTTCCTTTCCTGGACAATGGCAGCATGTCTCTCGCACACTGATCTCTCTCTCTCTCTCTCTCTCTCTCTCTCCCCTCCCCTCTTTCTCCCTCCCTTCCACTCTCTAAAAATCAATGGCAAACATGTCCCATGGTGAAGATTAACAACAACATTGCAGAAATGGTAGTTCGGACTGGCCGCTTCACGTCTCCCCTCCCTATGCTTCAGTTTCTCTGCTCTTGTTTTCTCATCTGTCTTTTGGGAATGATGAGATTCAGGCCCAGGGTTGTTGTGATAATTTGGTGACGTAACGTCTGCAGAGGTGCCCTGTCAACAGGTAGGTGTTTGTGTAAAGGGAGGGATTCCTGTTTTTATAACTGAGTGATGATTCTGCTGGGCTCTCTCATGATCCCAGGGAAATTTCCTGTGACCCCAGGAGAATCACCCCAATCTGTACCTCAGTTGCAGTGGGAGCAGAGAGACTGGAAGCAGAGGAGACAGGACATGGGGGTGAGGGAGTCCCAGGGGCCGGCGAGGCACAGGGTTCTCTGACCTGGGAGACTGAGGGAGACAGTGCTGCTGTCACTGAAATGGGAAACCAGAGAGGGGCAGCCTGAGAAGGTGATGTGTCCACGTAGCATGTCCAGGTTTGATATGACTTTGGGATCTCCGAAGGGCGTCCTCCGCTGGCAGATCGGACCTGGAGCTGAGACAGGTGTGGAAGTTGTCAGTACAGGGACAGGACCTATAGATTCAAGAGTGGGTGGATTCAGTTGTTCATTCATTCATTGAATAATCTATATATAAAAGCCTAAGCGACCGAACGACCAAACGACCGGTCGACCAGTTGCTATGGCACGCACTGACCACCAGGGGGCAGACGCTCAGTGCAGGAGCTGCCCCCTGGTGGTCAGTGTGTTCCCACAGCCAACCTCCAAAGGTCCCTCCCCCCCGGCCCTCGGGCACCAATTGGCCCCGATTGCTGGCCAGGCCAAGGGACCCCATCTGTGCACGAATTCGTGCACTGGGCCTCTAGTTAATTATAAAGCACCTTCTATAGGCCAAACTGTTTTAGATATTGGGGCCATATAGCAGTGGACAGCATCAGACATAGATATGTCAGTCCTGTGGAGCTTTCATGTTTGTGGGGAAAGTCAAAAGTAAAACGTAAGTCAGCTGACGAGTGCTGTGGAAGAAAACCAAACAGTTAAGAGGAATGGGGAATGCCTCAGCTGGGGTAGGAGGCAGTGGCAAGAGGTATTTATTTATTAAAAATATTTACATTTATATTTATATTGATTTCAGAGGGGAAGGGAGAAGGAGAGAGAGAGAGAGAAACATCAATGATGAGAGAGAA